AAGTGAGGTAATTCAAATGTGTTTGAATTACCTCCCTTACATAAGCAACACGACGGGTGCCACATGTGGAGCAGGATCTGCTTACCCTTCCGGAGCACCTGAGATCACCCCCAGTTTTTGGTGGGGTTCGTGTTGCGTAGTCTTTAGTTTCTATGTTGTGTCATCTGTACTATTATTTGTCTGTTTGTCTTTTTATTTTTGGCCATGACGTTGTCAGTTTGTTTTCGATCTACGAGTTTGACTGTCCCTCTGGTATCTTTCGTCCCTCTTTTACACTGCTTTTAAATTATGTTTTGTACTTAAGTAATTGTCCATTAACCTGGAAACCCTTGTTTTTCCCCCTTTTTTGCCCCTAATTCCTTAACGGTTTGAGCCATAACCCTCCAAAGCCAATTCTTACCATCCCTTTGTGGTATGGAAACTTGTGGTATAATTTCAGAGAGATCCATACACCATTCCACAAGCTATTTTCTGGAATCTAGAAAAATGCTTATTTGGGCCCTTTTTTGGCCCCTAATTCCTAAACTGTTGGGACCAAAACTCCCAAAATCAATCCCAACCTTCCTTTTGTGGTCATAAACCGTGTGTTCAGGTTTCATAGATTTCTATTTACTTATACTAAAGTTATTGTCTGGAAACCAAATGTCTTCGGACTACGACGACGACGACGTGATACCAATATACGACCGCAAAAAATTTTGCAGTCGTATAAAAACCAGTTGAAAAGGGGCTGACTCATTGGATTGATACAAAGCCTAAAACAACTTACAAGAAGACCATTATTAAGACAGTAACTAACGATCAGAGAGTCACAAATATATTTACTTTACTTCATAACATGCCAATTTGTCGACTTTTTTCAGAACCGACTTTAAACCGATTTACTCCTTAAACATTTTCCGCATGATATATATACCCTTATACACTACTGAAACCTGCTCAAGTAGGATATAGGGACAAATAGTTCCGATATAATAAAGATTCGTTGGGATCTAAAACTTTTGTGAGTAGTTTTATCGGGACAATTAATGAAATATATTGATCACACTTTTCTCAAACACAAAAAAACAAACAGAGAGTAAATAAATGACATGTCTGCTGAAAAACTGATTCATAAAAAAATGTTTACCGAAATAAGTACAGGCAAAAAAGCAAGTGATTTAGAAATTAAGCTCTTTACAGGGGTTAAAAATTACCACACACAAAAAGAAAATTGTAACCCTTTAAATACTATATTGGCCTTTCCTCTATTTCACTTTTTTTTTTATCCCAATACAGTTTATATACAGAGTTATATTCTGAAGCTTGAAACTACAAAGCAAACAAAAACAATTTTCAACATAATAAGGCTAAAAAACGACAAGCTTTTTTAGAAAAGCTTTCACTTGTTTATAGGTAAACATCAACTTGCTGATGTCTACTTATATCAGTAATATGTATAAATAGTTAATTGTAAATTTAAAATATATATTTTTATTTTTTAACAGACTAAAAGGTAAAAAAAACTGTTCATTTGCTATACTGCTATCATACATATTGTAAATGAAATAGTTAAAATTCCGCCTTCTCCATGAGATTTATCATAATTTATTTTAATAGCGAGTAGCAATATTCTCTTTTGTAAACAAGACTCATTGTGGGAAAATAGCAGACAAATATCACATTTGTAAGGGGAAAAAAAGACAATTTTTGGTAAATCAATGCTTTTCCTTTTTGACTTTACCCAGCATTTAAAAGGACAAACGTCTGGCTATAACATCCAATGCACTGCATGTGTAATATAATTCAGACTATTTTGTAGTTATACACGAAAATATACAAATTGGATTACATGGAACCTATCTGTAAGATCTATGATTTTGAAGTGTACAAATACCGAGATAATTATGGAGCAAATACAGTGGAATGCACTATCAATGTTACACAACGTACCGGCTTCAACAAAAATTGAAATAAAACACTTTGGAAATATTATTGTCATACAGTGCCAACAAGGACAAGTAATGCTAATATTGTTTACAGCAGCTCAATGTCTCTCTCAGAAGCCATCAATACGGCTAACCATCTTAAAGCCGATATGAAACCTCTCAGATCACATGATCTGAGCACTGTTTCAACACCTGATTGTGATGAAGATCTCATACTACACAAAGCTGCTGGTATATCATTATATCACGTAACATTTGGCGATGTTGTAATACAAGGTGATGCATATTCGTCACCTGCAGATACTTCATTAAGTCAGTCTCTGAAAATTATGCCCCTATTTTGAAACGTTCTTATGCTGGCGTCTAGATAGAGATTCCTCAGCAGCTGTAAACTCTCTTTCAGTCGGCGTCAACAATTGTAGATGTGCTTGATAGGTATGACATAACATACTCTATTGAATCAACTGAAAGGGAACGTCGGTCTCAAGCAGCTGGTGGATACAAGGTATATCAAGTAAATGAAGGAAGCAGTATCCCAGACCGGAAAAAAATCCTGGCGAACAAAAGAAATCAACAGGCTTTTATCTGATTTATCGGGGTATTTATTTCGAAATTTTATTGTGCCAGTAATCGACTTGCCTGTCAGACAAACATTACATTTAGCAGGGACTTTCCAAAATCCAGAAACTGTAAAAAAAAAAATACCTTTCGATCAAATTAATGATTGTGCGAGCTTGTTCAGCACACAAGAGGAAGCCGACACAGGACTCGTTCTACATGCTCTCCATGCAGACGAACAATTTAAGAAGTGTAATGTCAGACCGAAAAAGATTGTCAAATGTTCTGACACTGATGTTTTAGTTCTCTGTGTTCATTACTTCCCTTGGATACTAAACACAGATCAGCTATGGCTCATCGTAGATTCTGTAACTAGTGGTAAGGATGGTACATCCCAGTTCATCAGTTGTGTAGTTCTCTTACATACATTACACGTGAAATTCTACCAGCAACTCATGCTCTGACTGGTTGTGACACCACATCAAGTCTCTTTGGCATTGGGAAAAAGTCTGTCTTTAAGGTTTTTTAGTCGTCATATGCAGAACTGACGAATCTATCACAACTATGCAACTCAGATATCGACATCTCCTTCTGTGTTGCAAGAAAACGTGTATCTAAGTTGTATGACCCTAAAGGCAAATATAAGTCAAGTCACCAGGATTTGAACAAGTTATGTGTTAGACTTGCGATTAGCAAAGACTGCTCTCTTGTATTCGCCTTTCACCGAGCGAATCGTCATTCAAACAACACGTTCTAAAAGCCAGCATACAAACAAACATATGGATGACATCACATCAAGCAAAGACACCGATAGGTTCACCCTATGATAACGGTTGGCAAAAAGGTTGCAATGGTCCAACGGTTACCCCAGTTCTGTTCACTGGACTTATGTCATCAGACATTCTTCAGGATTTGTTCTTGCAAAGGAAAAAAAGATTTGCAGTAGAAAATGTGTTTGTGAACAAAACCTTTGATGCACAGAATTATTTCCTTGTCAGGGAGCAATCCCTGTTCTAATATGTTGACAAGTCAACAGAGCCCTGACGATGATGATGAAGAGGAAGCTCTTCATGCTTGATTTCAATTTTGAAATTTGAATTTAAATTTTGTTTCAGTGTTTATTAATCACAAGATGAAATGTCGCTTTGTGTGATTATTTTTTTAACATTGCGTTCCATTAGAAAAAATATGGACATAGAAACTCCTAATTCAAATAATTAAAACCCCTTTAGTGTACCCTTTAGATTACCTAACAAAAGAAAAAAATATAACCTGCCAGACGGTCTCCGACCTTGACGTGGTTGGTAGACTTTACACAAACAGGAGGCCCTCTTTATTGTTGATGCGACAAAGACTTCTACTTTTATCTCACTATTATACTTCTATCTTTAAAATAAAATGCTCCGCTGGGCGCAGCTTGATACGACCGCAGAGGTCGAAGCATGAACAGTTGGGGCAAGTATGGACACTACATTCAAGCTTGAAAGAGCTCTGAATTTGGATTGTGATTAAATATTTGACACATCATAGGTCTCTGTAAAATAATACCATTACAAACTCAATCCCAATTTAATATTCTTGTACGTGTCTTTAAATCTATTCTATTTTTTTGAAATTTACCTGTGATAATATAAACATCAAAACAATACGTCACTTTTGTGGCATTGATCCATTCGTGTGACGCGCAGTTTATACTTCGTTTGTGGTGTCCTGGTGTGCTGTCGTAAATTCATGGGAGGTGTCCGTTGTTATTCTGCGGTTTACATGTTGTAATGTACTATTATACTATAATGTCACGTAGTGTTGTCATTTTAAGCGGTATTTTTAACATTGCCACATAAGCGGGGAGGTTTGGCTAGCCATAAAACCAGGTTCAACCCACCATTTTTTCTTAAAATGTCCTGTACCAAGTCAGTGATATGTCAGTTGTTATCAATTAGTCTGTTTCTATGTATGTTGGCATTTGTTTTTGTTGCAGTTCAGTGTTTCTGTTGTTCCGTTGTTTTCCTCTTATAGTTGATGTGTTTACTTCGGATTTAGTTTAGTTAAATTTGACCTGGTTGTTTCTGAGGTGAAGATTTTAGTCAAAGTTAACGGACAAGGACAACAGAAGACTATGACGACAGACGATTGACACAAAGTGATAGCAAGAGTCCACACCGACCTTTTAGGCAATGTGAGCTTATAATATATTCAAGATTGAAATAGTTATTTCAGACAAAAAATCATTTACTAGTGTCATAGAAAAAATCCACTGTACAAACAAGGGAGCATACATATCCCATTCATATCATGGTGATTTTACAAGACAAATGAATATGCAATTTAAATGGGTATTTCTTTATGTACTATAAAACTTACCATCAATAGATGAAATGTACAATTTGAAAAATATTGTATTATATTAATTTTTCTTAGTCTGTAATAGAATTACATTTTTAGTAAGTAAAATGTTCAACAGATAGGATATAAAATAGTAACTAAAATGATCAATTTACTAAATTAATTGTTCACCTTTAGTCTTTACTTTTCTAGCTTTCTTTGGTTTTTCTTTCTTATCTGTAAATATAACAAGAATGTGTCCATAGTACACGGATGCCCCACTCGCACTATCATTTTCTATGTTCAGTGGACCATGAAATAGGTTTCAAAACTCTAATTTGGCATTAAAATTAGAAAGATCATATCATAGGGAACATGTGTACTAAGTTTCAAGTTGATTGGACATCAACTTCATCAATAAACTGCTTCGCTGAGCGCAACTGGATACGCCCACAGAGGTCCAACCCTGAACAGTTGGGGCAAAAATGGACACAATATTCAAGCTTGATACAGGTCTGAATTTGGATTGTAATTAAATATTTGACGTATTGAATAAATGTAGTCAAAGAACTTGAAATTGGTTATATGAATTGAATTTATATTCAATTAAAGATTTCTTGCTGTTGTGCAATACACTGTGCTGTTGCGCAATACTTAGTAAATCTGTTGTCAGACTATAAACAAATAAAGTTCAATTTCTTCTCAATGTCATATTTGAAATTTATAAAAATCAATAGGGAGATTACATCAATAGCTATAAATAATTCACCAAAGTTTCATGAGAACTGCTGAAAGCATTTTTGAGTTATTGTCCAAAAACTGGAAAATCCCCCCTTTTTTAATGAATAAAACCCCATAACTCAGAAATGTAAAATCTAAAATTTATAAAATTCTAAAGGGAGCTTACATCAACAGATATAAACAATTCACCAAAGTTTCATGAGAACTGCTGAAAGCATGTTTTAGTTATTGTCCGAAAACTGGAAAATCCCCCTTTTTTTATGAATAAAACCCTGTAACTCGAAAATGTTAAATCTAAAATTTATAAAAATCCAAAAGGGAGCTCATGTCAATAGATATAAACAATTCACCAAAATTTCTTGCAAGTTGGTGAAAGCATTCTTGAGTTATTGTCGGAAAACTAGAAAATCCCCCCTTTTTTAATGAATAAAACCCCAAAACTCGGAAACGGTAAATCTGAAATTTATAAAAAACGAAAGGGAGCTCACGTCAATAGATATAAACAATTCACCAAAGTTTCATGCATATTGGTTTAAGCTTTTTTGAGTTAATGACGTGTTGACGACGGACGGACGGACAGACGGTCAAAGGTATACCATAATACGTCCAAAAAAAACGGACGTATAAAAACTACCTTGACCAAAAACTTTAACCTGAAGCGGGACAGAAGGACGGACGAACGGGTGAATGTACGCACAGACGAATGGACGCACAGACCGAAAAACATAATGCCCCTAGGTGGGGCATAAAAATTCTCCCTTTACAAATATTCTAAATTCTAAAATATTTCATAAGCGCCATCAATATACCAAAGTGCAATCAACATGTACATTCTGAAATTATCTTGTCAAGCAAACAATTATTATCCATAACAAGTGACAAACAATCCAGATCTTTCACTTTACTCCTATATATTTCTTAATCACTCATATAAGATCTCAAGACATCCAATAATGGGTAATGTTCAATGACTTTTTTATACATGCAATATAATTTTCCCTGTTTCAGTATTTTGACAATTGTCTATCAAAAATATTGTTGACACTGTGGAAATTTTCCAAATAGGTTCCAGAAATTCTATGTTAATGCTAGTTATAAATAGAACTTGAACTGTTCGTCTAAACACCGCCAAGGATTCCTTCGTGCACTAAAACATTTGAATTCACACTAAGACAAGAAGGGATGCTTTTATATTTATTGCAGCTTTTTATAAAGTTCATTAAGTCTCACCTTAATTTTATGAAAAACCAGGGATTTTCTATCCCAGGAATAGATTACCTTAGCTTATTTAGCAAAACCTTGCGTATCTCTTTTATATTGTCGATAATCAGTATATTGATATGTGCCTATATTACTGATTAAAACTGATATCACAATCATCATTGTTAGAACAAGTAATTCACTGTTATAGCTACACATCTAATAGTAGTAAGCTACAATTAAATGTTTGTTTTTTTTTCGTTTAAAATTGTGATAAGGGCAAATTATTGAGCTTTTGTTTCATTTCTCATCAGACAAAGTCTATATAAGTGCTCTTATCTGACAAAGTCTATACAAGTGCTCTCATCCGACAAAATCTATATAGTTTCTCATCTGACAAAGTCTATATAAGTGCTCTCATCCGACAAAGTCTATATAAGTGCTCTCATTCCACAAAGTCTATATAAGTGCTCACATCCGACAAAGTCTTTATAAGTGCTCTCATCTGACAAAGTCTATATATTTGCTCTCATCTGACAGTCTATATAAGTGCTTTCATCCTATCAAGTCTATATAAGTGCTCTATCTGACAAAGTCTATATAAATGGTCTAATCCGAAAAAGTCTTTATAAGTGCTCTCATCAGACAAATTCTATATAAGTAGTGCATCAAAACCAAAGTGAATAAAAAGATTTGTGTGCTTGTGCTTTCTTCCATTCTGCCAAATTGCGTATGTTTACCTATGGTTCCACGAAAAAATTAAGTAATTCTCCAAAAATATAAGATGGAATATATCCAAAGCTATCTACCTCTTCTATCCACAGGGACATAGTATTGTATAACCCAGAAGTTTGCTCCATGTAAAAGTCAACAAATTCAAACTAGTATGTACTACCAGAAAAAAAAAACAAAAATCAAAAATTTTGAATGTCACTAACGAAGTTATACATGTTATGTCCATGGTAAAATAACACGTTTTTTTGAAAGAAATATTCCACACTGAAGAAAATCATAAATTACCATCTGCAATTTGCTAGACAAAAGAACAATTTAATGAAAATCTAGCGGAATCAATGGTATCGGCAAAGCATTCAATCTTTGACCTGTGTTCCTTCCCAGGTTTGTCTACAAAAACAATAAAGTTGCTCGAAAAACAAGAGGCTCTCAAGAGCCTGTGTCGCTCACCTGTATTTACTGATGCTTTGGAAATCATGTAAAATAAGGTTAAAATCATAATTAATAGTATTAGATATTATAATGATTTCTAAGATAATAACAAATAAAATGCTTCGCTGGGCGCAGCTTGATACGACCGCAGAGGTCGAACCCTGAACAGTTGGGGCAAGTATGGACACAACATTCAAGCTTGATACAGCTCTGAATTTGGATTGTGATTAAATATTTGACACAGCATAGGTTTCTGACACAGAAAGAATGTGGTCTAAGAACTTCAATTTTTTTAATTTACCTATTATGGTCCAATGTCCAAAATCAAAATACATGGTTAGATTCAGCATATCAAAGAACCCCATATATTCAATTTTTGTTGAAATCAAACAAAGTTTAATTTTGGACCCCAACTTGGACAAACTTGAAAACTGGTCCCATAATCAAAAATCTAAACACATGTTTAGATTCAGCATATCAAAGTACCCCAAGAATTCAATTTTTGTTAAAATCAAACTAAGTTTAATTTTGGACCCTTTGGACCTTAATGTAGACCAATTTAAAACAAGAGTGCACACACTGAAATGTCTCGCCTTCTTTACTAATCATTGATATTATGTTGATAGTCCTAAATATAAAGCTTTATTACAACTGTCACATAAACTTAACATAAACCAAGAAAACTAAACATTGACCAATGAACCATGAAAATGAGGTCAAGGTCAGATGAACCGTGCCAGGCAGACATGTACAGTTAACAATTCTTCCATATAACAAATATAGTTGACCTATTGCTTATAGTTTAAGAAAAACTGACCAAAACACAAAAACTTAACACTGATCAATGAACCATGAAAATGAGGTCAAGGTCATATAAAACCTGCGTGACTGACATCATAGATCATAAAATATTTCCATACACCAAATATAGTTGACCTATGGCATATAGTATTAGAAAAAAAGACCAAAACTCAAAAACTTAACTTTGACCACTGAACCATGAAAACAAGGTCAAGGTCAGATGACACCTGCCAGCTAGACATGTACACCTTACAATCATTCCATACACCAAATATAGTAGACCTATTGCATACAGTATAAGAAAAACAGACCAAAACACAAAAACTTAACTATAACCACTGAACCATGAAAATGAGGTCAAGGTCAGATGACACCTGCCAGTTGGACATGTACACCTTACAGTCCTTCCATACACCGAATATACTAGACCTATTGCTTATAGTATCTGAGATATGGACTTGACCACCAAAACTTAACCTTGTTCACTGATCCATGAAATGAGGTCGAGGTCAAGTGAAAACTGTCTGACGGGCATGAGGACCTTGCAAGGTACGCACATACCAAATATAGTTATCCTACTACTTATAATAAGAGAGAATTTAACATTACAAAAAATGTTAACTTTTTTTTCAAGTAGTCACTGAACCATGAAAATGAGGTCAAGGACATTGGACATGTGACTGACGGAAACTTCGTAACATGAGGCATCCATATACAAAGTATGAAGCATCCAGGTCTTCCACCTTCTGAAATATAAAGCTTTTAAGAAGTTAGCTAACGCCGCCGCCGCCGCCGCCGCCGCCGCCACCGCCGGATCACTATCCCTATATCGAGCTTTCTGCGACCAAAAGTCGCAGGCTCGACAAAAATGGGACCCAAAATTAAAAATCTAAAAACACGGTTAGATTTGGCATATCAAAGAACCCCAATAATTCAATTTTTGATGAAATCAAACAAAGTTTAATTTTGGACCCTTTTGACCACAATATGAACCAATTTGATAGCGGGCCTACAAAATAAAAAATCTAAATACATGGTAAGATTCAGCATATCAAAGAACCCCATATATTCAATTTTTGTTGAAATCAAACAAAGTTTAATTTTGGACCCCAATTTGGACCAACTTGAAAACTGGGCCAAAAATCTAAAATCTAAATACATGTTTAGATTCAGCATATCAAAGAACCCCATATATTCAATTTTTGTTGAAATCAAACAAAGTTTAATTTTGGACCCCGATTTGGACCAACTTGAAATTTGGGCCCATAATCAAAAATCTAAATACATGTTTAGATTCAGCATATCAAAGAACCCTAAAAATTCAATTT